CAGTCAACACATTATTATTTCTACATTATCCCAGTTCCTTCATTGTCGAATTTGTGATTTTATATAAGAATGGTCAAACCAATGAGGAAGGAGGAAACATTCAATAATAAATAAGCTCTTTCCTATGAAGCGTATTCCAAAACTCAACAATATTTGTATTTAATTAAAAAGTCAACATTAACAGTTTTGCATTTAAGTCTTAAATGCAGGAATGTTAAATGGCTATCTTAACTGCCTTTCTAGAAGCCTTCTACAGGAGCTACTGTATCTGTTATTCGTAAACTTCAGCACAATGTAAGGAGTATAAAATGACATATACATCTATACGATGAACTTTTCAGGAAGAATACCAAAAGTCTGCCTTGAGAACACCCCTGACTAATAAAGTGCAAAAATTTTCAGTTTATTAGAGAGAAAGGTACTTAAGTTCATACACACAGTGGCACAACCTTGAACAAATACAGAAAGAAAAAAAAGAAAAAAAAAACAAAAAACACCAGGAATCACAGAATAGCTGAGGTTGGACACGATCTCCGGAGACTGTCTAGTCCAACCACCCCGCACAGAGCAAGAGCAACTAGAGTAGGTTGCTCAGGGCTGTGTCCAAGTGTATTTTGAGTAACTGCAAGGATGGGGACTCCACAACTTCTCTGGGCAACCTGTTCCAGTGTTTGATGACACTTACAGTAAAAAAAAATTTATTCTGTTCAAATGGAATTTCCTGTATTTCAGTTTGTGGTCATTGCCTCTTGTCCTATCACTGAGCATCACTGAGAAGAGCCTGGCTCTGACTTCTTCACTCGTTCCCACTACACATTACAAGATTCCCCTGAGACTTCTCTTCCCCAGGCTGCAGAGTCCCAGTGCTCCCAGTCCTCCTCACATGACAGGTATCTTCAAGCCCTTCAGCTTTGTGGCCCTTTGCTGCACTTGCTCCAGTGCGTCTATGTCTTTCTTCCATTCCCATCATGAAAGTACCTTGATTTTCTAGGTGCTTCCTGCCATATAGAAGTACCTTGGTTTTCTAAATGCAAAGACTGAAAGTTCTCAAAGGTGAAATTGCAGCTTTTTAAAATCTTGATCACATTGCTGATTCCTTGCGAAGAGGTACACTAACTCTGAAGCACCTTCTTTGTATTACCCACATTTACTTTTTAGCGCAAACATTTCAGAGTCATGCCAGCAATTCAAAGAGCAATTTATGTTTCACTACCACACAGACAATGTCAGTTAGTTACACACAAACAATGACAATACAGAAGCAATCTAAAAATCAGCAAGAAGCCTATTTCTGAATTAATCTCACTATATTTTGCTAGATTACATTTTGCTTTGGGAAACTCAGGGGAAAAAAACTTGCAAATCAGTGTAAAATAGTGCAAAACAGTTCAAGAACTGCTTTATATACTTATATGGTGCTGCAGGTATATAGGGGTACCTACAAACATGACTGTGGGGTTTTGTTCCAAATCTTTCACTTAGTTTGTGTTTTCAAGTTATATTTAATGTACAAAACATAACTCCCAAAAATGTTATGGATTATCTAGCAATCTCTAATTGTATTTTTTCACCCTGAAAATAACAATCACAATAACTGAATCAAACATAACCAGTGTCTGAAGATGATAGTGAAATTAAAAATGCATTTAAAAAAAAAAAAAGGAACTTCAAACATAAATAACTATTGACTTAACAAGCATCACACAAGTTTTGTGACACTTACTTCTGAAGCCTTCTACCTAACCACCTGGCCACAACCATTCACAGACCAGCTGGGTTCTCTCTGGCTAGTATTATGCAACAAAGATGTCCTTGTGGTCACTTCTTCTGGTCACTGAGGGATGAACTAAGGATTGTCTGTGGGATGTCAGTGGATTTCCATTTTCCCTCCTGAATCCAAGCCAAAAAGTGTCAGCCAAAACAAAGGGTAGAGGCTGACAAAGGAGACAGCAAAGACACAACTTGCGGGACCAATATCCCCAAATTCCCAGTTGCCAATACACCAGGTACCTGCCCATCAGGTCGCTGTACCCCATCCCCATACACAACCTGGCAAAGAGAAAAGCTACTTTCTTATTGTCTCCTCTCTCATATATCTTACTTATATCCCTATTCTGATGGGGAAAATCAACTCATTTTGTTTTAAAAAAAAAGCCACATGTGAAACTGCATAAGACTTGGCAGCATTGTGTTTCTTTTAATAACATGGACAAGAAAAACTGCCCTATATGTAATGCAGGCTCTTGTAAATGCATTTATCCTTTTTTAATGAAAAATTGTATCTTCCCAGCACCAGTGGTCTTACAGGACCTCCCCTAATCCTAATATACTTTCAGTAAACCCCAGCAATTAATGTGTAACTTACTAAAGAACAATGATCACTTTACTAACGTATTTAATATGTATTCCTAGCATTTTAAGGAAAAGAAAATGAAAACTGAGTTAATAGAAAACCAGAAAAAGGAAAACACTAAATCATTCAAAGTGTCATGTACATTATCCTATTTTTTTAAAAGATTAAAGCTGAGCACTGAAGGGAACTCCTCAAAAACAAGCTATGTACAGAATGATTTATGCTTTCATGTCCATCATTCCATTTCACCAAGGAGTGGTACTGAGTAATAAGAATAAAATGTCAAGGTTTTTAAATCGCTAAACAACCTGAGAATAGAAAGAATTGTTCGCTTCTCAGTTACACTAGCTGAGAATCGGACCCAGAAAGCTGCAACATGTCTGTACGCTTACTTTACTGCAAGTAAAAGTGCTAAGTAGCCACATAACAGCAGCAAAGAAATCCAGGGCCGAGAGGAAAAATTAGCTGAGAGCTAATAGTCAACAGCTAGCATTACCTTAATCTGTTATCGTCTGCATCGGCTCTGGGAAAGCAATCAGAAGAACTGAAAGCCTACCTTATCTTCACTGATTTGAGAAAGGTTGGACAAGCTTAGCCTCAGACATTGCGTAAGCTGTGAAGAATGATATTCCGCAAAAGGCCCTTTCCAGCTGAGGAAGAGATTTCTGTAACGTGCTCTGCATGGGGCAACACTGGAATGTCAGGAATTGCCCTGTACACTCCATAGCAGCCCGCTTACACCACAATGTTTCTCATGGAAACTGCATATATCGTTTTGCTCTAAAACTTGCAACAACTAACAAATCCTAAATTAGAGATGTTATTTTACATTGTAAAAGCCTTAAGGGCCTGAAACTTACCTATCCAAGAGGTCATCTCTATTCCTGGGATACTACCACAACTCAGACCAGCTGAGACACTGGAACTGGCTAACCCCCAACTACGACTTTGGCCTTGGCTTTTATCAGGAGGTTGAGCTGGTTGAGTATAAAGCACATTCTAATCATAGCACAGATCTTCAAAAACTAAAGAATCTGTAATATTTTCCTTGAAATTGTTTGCCCCAACGAATTTAAAGAACTATCAAAATTAAAAGGTAACATGGATCGCATCTATTATTGCACATTCCCAACATCATCACCAACTTTACCATGCTCATTTATCTTATTCTGACATGTAACTTAATGCTTAATACTAATTATTGTATAATTGCATGCCTGCTAACTAAATATTTAATCAAGAAACAACAGTTGAAACAAATTGAGGTTTTTCTTTTTTTAAATAGCAGTTGAGATGAAACCTGAAGGTTACTTAGAGTCAAGGTATTTCCATTTTGTGGCTTTTTGATGTATTTTAATTTTCTTATAGTGGAATTTCCCATGAAGCAAGAATGATCGATTATATCTACCTATGGAGCTTTAAAAACATATCTACGCATATCAAATGTATCTTGCAAATATTCAGCTTCCTGATACCTGTGAACAGCTCCACTTCTGAGGGTAACTTTTCCTGTAATCATTTCGAGAACATAATCCCAGTGATTCAGTATTTTCCTGGGAATGAGGAGGCGCACTACAGGGCTAATAAGGTCTCCATTAGCAATCAGGCTGAAATAAAGCAAAGTAAAATAATTTGGAGGGGCATTTTAAACAAAACTCATCACCACCCCCACCCCTGAAAATTCTACTTACAAAATAGTGTAGGGCTCCTGGAGTGGTTTTCGAAACCGTGCTGACACAGTGATTCTACTGTGAGTAACTGGCTTGACCTGCAAGGACAAAAAACCCTAGAAATTACTCAGTCTTCACACTGGGAAAGCGTTTGCGCTGACCACCACCAGCAAGGGTGGCAGTGTATCTGCAGAAAGAAGTTCCTGTTTTTAAAACATGCATTTTATTCCATTCCAGCTTCACCTTCTACAGAGCATACGTAATTACTGCTGCAGGATTATATATGTGTTGAGCAACAACCTCAGAAGAGTATACCACAGTGCAGCATGGCACAATGTATGGTTTCCACTAAGAGGTCAGAATTGTATGGACAACTTTGGTGACTTCTCATACAATAAGAAATTTTGTACTAGACTGTATATAAACTATGCCTTAATCCCTAAGGTAATTGTAATTCACAGACCTGCTGTTAATTCCAGTGTGCTCTAATTCAGGTGGAAGATTCACACGTACTAGTACAAGCTTGGAAAGAGAGTAAGAGGTTGTTATCACACAGCTCATTATGGGAGGCAAAGAAATTTTTGGAGACTGCCAAATAATTTGGGAGCTCAGCCATTCTTGCAGAAACATTTAAAGCACGTTTTTCAGACCATAACTGGTTGTTTGTCACCAAAATTTGAGAGGAAAATTTACTGAGTCTCTAGGAAGAAAAAGAAAACACATCCTAAACTGCAACACCTGACAACGCTTCTATTGCTGCTGTCAGCCATTAAGGGTTATTTGCCCAACGTAAGCAACCTAATAGAGAGCTTCGGAATACAGTAAAAAAATAAGGTAACTTTCTAAAGAGTATGCTTCAGTAACTGCCTCAGGCTGAGGCAATACTCATCTACTTCCATAGCATCAGGTCCTAATTATTAGGCTCCAAACACAGGTTGCATCCAAAACAGGAATGACTTAACTTTGGCTGTCCTTACACCTTTCTGCGTATAGCTGCTAGGTTGCCAGGCTAATCTCCTATAAAGCATTCAATAGGTAACTAGTAAAGCCCTCTATCGCTTTTTGTGACTCCACATCCATTCCCGATGCTCACTTATGCTGTTGATACCTATGTTTAAGCTCTCACTTATGCTGTTGATACCTATGTTTAAGCTCTCACACACTCCAAACAGTCTATCAAACTCAGTTCTCTGATCCAGTCTGCAATGCTCAGGTTTCAATGACCCACACTTTACTGGAACTATTTAGAAAGCATTTGCTGAACATAAAGGAGCCCTTTAGAATAGTCCCAGGTGTGCCCAATGATTTAGTTGTTCCTGCAAGCTGATGAAACCATTAATTTGATGTAGGCTTCTCAGAAGGCCATCATGTTATTGCATGCAGCCCTATCAGTGGGCCCCCGAGAAAATAAGCAACCTGACAGACGTTAAGAGCTCATTTATTATTTGAAGGATTGTATTTCTGCCAATGATAGATACTGTGGCGTTGGCTTGCAAGTCCGTCTTTTGGGTTATGCAGTCTTCTGTGGCCTAGTAACTCAGCTCTGTTCTTAAACAAGCAAACTGTGGGGGACTGTAAAATGGGATCAGCTTGGGCAGAGACTTAATATTTTTCTTTTCTATCTAAACATGGCCTAAACCAGAACAAAACACAATCTTGTGTTGTTCTGCTAAGCATGTTTAAATCAAATGTACCTCCTGTATTAATAGGTGAAAAGAATACATTAGTGCAATATTACATTTGCTAATGTAACACCACTAAAATCAGTGCACAGAAACGCTAAGGTGACTGTGACACTATTAAAACACCCAGAAGTAATTAGCACAGCACATAGACAAGATCTCAGCTTCTGGGAGCCTGGAGCAGAGCAGCCCAGATTAAATTAAGCAGATGCTGGACCACGGTGTCACAGAACTCTCTGAAGTCTCCTGCCACACTCAACATGAACAGTCAGGGCAAGTGTACTGTGTCTTTTCTTGGGGTCCACATGCTCTTGGGCAGATGTTTAGGCTACTGTTGTTTGTCTGGAAAGGGAGGGATAACGATCGGGTTTGGGACTGCTTGCCTCCTGAAGGCATGTTTTACACCTGATCTGCTTCAGGGTCCAAAAGAAATACAAACTCTTTATATTAATCCAAGACACAGGGACACTCTGATGCTGCAAATGAGAGAGAGGAAAGGAGAAAATAAATATATAAATTAAAAGAAAATTTTAAAAACCAAACAGAAGGAAGAGCCTGCATAGGGGCCCTGCAAATGAGCTGTGTACACCACCTTTAATTTTGAAGATGGCAAGCATGCAGACATGCAAGCAACTAGTGCAATATAGTACAATATAGTATTCCACAACGCACAAGAGATAACTCTTACAGATGCCCAATATATGTTCTGGCTACACCACAGTATATCAAGCTCTCTAAGTACAACAGCGCAAAAACTCAGCACAAGCAACACTAGCCTGCTCTGAAGCCACCTTTTTAAAAAAGTTTGGCTAGATCTATCCTGCATTGTGATTTAAATTAAAAACAAAAAAAAAAAACAAAACCAAACAAAACAACAACAAAAAAACCCACTCTATATACTATTATTCTACTTAACCTGTCCTATTCATTATTTTTTGGCACAGTCTTCAAGTTATTACTTCATAGAGTTTAGGACCACTTCTGTCTGACCAATGTTAAACTATTTATGGTTATGAAAAACAAGCCACATAATTTCAATATACATTAATAAAAGACCAAGTGCTCAGCCACCGTAAATCAATCTAGTTCCTCTGAAGTACATGGACTTATGCCAAACCACCCCAGAGGAAGACCTGATCCAGGATTTAATTAAAGACTGCATGGTTCTGCCTCTATTTTGTTCGTAGGAGGCACCACAGCATTGCAGTGTCTGGAACAGCCTGACCCCTCTGGCACTGCAGCATTACATATTAACAACGATGTGGTCTTGGGGGAAGGTTTGTGCTTACATTAAGAGACCAGCATCACTAGCACCCTAGACCCTTTATTTTCTTTTGCCAGCCACATTCTCAGTTGATGTAAATCAGAACTTTTCCATTTACGTCAGCAATTGTAAGCAGACTGACATTAATCGTTGGTCTGGCCCCATTATGATTTTATCTTCAAATTTTGTACATTTTCAGTTTGTTTGAAAAGACCCATTCAAGGGCAGCCTCCATATCCCACTGACAAATGCTGCCAACATTTCATAATCTGTGATGAGATACTTATCTGAGGTATCACACGGCAACATACAGCAGCAACGTATTCAGGGGAGGAAGAAGAAAGCATTATACCAGTTGAAACTCACAGGGAACTGTAAGTAGGTTGGAGGCATTCAATCAAATGAGAATTTGCAAGGCAACAAGGGCTAAACACAGTTGGAAGCACACCATGGGATCACAGACACTCAAAACCACCATCATTTTTACCTTTCTATTCTACAAAGAATTTATTTCCCACAGTGCCTCTTACACCAACAGCAGTGTGGCTCTTTCTTGCTTCAGTGAGGAGTTACCACCTGTGAAATAACTTTGCTAAGCACCTTGTAGAGTCTGAGAAAAACAAAGCAGCTAAACCCCACGCAGGCTAGGTTCTGGGAGCGGCAATCAATCATCAGTGTTTGAGACCTCTGTAAACACTCAAATTTCAGAATACATGCTACAGAGAGTTCTCTTGGAGCCCATCTTACATCTTCAGTCATAATTCACTGCGGTTGAACTTGCGTTGCTGAATGTTAGATGCAGATGAGTGCCTCGTAACAGCCCTTTGAAAATACAAAGCCAAGATGCAGATCAGCATCTCACTGAAACATGGTAAAATCGACACCCTCACAACTGCTTTATAACTACATTCTACACATTTTTCCCTTATACTAAAAAATATGCTAAATATTCACAAAATTTAACAAACACAGACAAAACACTTTGCAAACACATACTACACACTGTACAATCTACTTTAGGTACTTATGTCTTCCACTGTTAACTGTTGGAAAAAAACAACCAAACAAACAAAATTATCATCAGCCAAACCATTGTCTCAGGTATACTGTCATATGTACACATATGAAAAATATTTTTTGCAAGAAAACCATTTTGAATTCATGTGTGCATACCCACACATGTATACATGTATAGAACGTGTGTGTGTGCGCACATATATACACCAATTTAATACAATTTTCATACAAAAATTCCTATTATGTTTATGTTCAGCTGAGCACACGAAAGACTGAAGATCAACAAAAAACATGTTACTCCTTTTAGAAGACTATGGATGGGCTTGATCATGCAATGCTTCAGACTCAATAGTGTTACACTGGGAAAAGAAGGAGGTATTTAAAAGACGTGTAGATGTGGTGCTTAGGGACATGGTTTAGAGGTGGACTTGGCAGTGCTGGGTTAACGGTTGATTGCGATGATCTTAAATGTATTTTCCAACCTAAATTATTCTGTGATTCTAAACATAATCCCTAAAATGGAGATGTAGCAAAACGATGTATATTTGTTTTTGTTGGTGTGAACCTATTTGCTGATCCCCTCCACATATAGTTTTTGCTTCTATGAACACTGCACTATACTTTTCACATTTATTATTCAAAAATAGACTGGAAAGAGGGAAAGATCCAGTAAACTACCCAACTCCTGTTGGCTAATCGGGTCTTGCAAGAGGTATGTGACACTTCAGAGAATCAATCCTTGTATATCAGAAAAGCATACTGTTCATTAAATAACATTTTAGTTGTGCTCTGAACATACCATGCTGCATATTTAATTCTAAAAAAGTGACTTTTATGCACTTGAGAATAGTTTCCAATAGAAATGTGCCATTCTGAGAGTTTTTTTTTTTTTTCTTTCCAGTGTATATTAAATAGAGACATGCTAAATACAGAGGTCTGACAGCACTTTCACAGGCTGCAGTGAAGACACAGGCTAGTTATCCATAGCTAAGAAATGGTATGACTATCTGATTTATTTCCTTTTCTTACCAGAAGTGCCCCTCATCAAAGAGGGCAAGATTTACAGGTTTACACGTATTTATAAAGCCATATGGGATGGCAGCAAAACACAGACAAAAAACATAACCTCCTTGAA